GCCGCCATCTTGGTTGGCAGTTAATTTGCATATCGCCCTGATTAGCCAATGGGAAGCGTAGCAGAGGTATGGTTAATTACCATGTTTGTCTATTATTAGATAGGATTATTGATCATTCCCTTCCTGAAACATTTTTTAAATTAACTTCTGATATTCCATACTTGATTTTCCTTCTTTTCTCCCTGGATGGAACTACTTGGTTTTCTTGGTAGGTTTATTCTTTTTTTTGACCTATAAATATGAAATGTCCCAGGCCTCAATCCTTTGATCTTCCTTCTACTTATACTTACTCACTATATGGATCTCATCTAATCATAGCTTTATGTATTTAATTGAAATTAGAGGCCCGGTGCACAAAAATTTGTGCACTCAGGGGTAGGGGGTCCTTCAGCCCGGCTTGTGCCCTCTCGCAGTCTGGGACCCCTCGGGGGTTACCACTTGCTGGCTGAGGCCTGCTCCCCGGGGGATTGGGCCTAAGATGGCAATCAGACATCCCTCTGGCAGCCCGGCAGCCCTTGGGGGATGTCCATTTGCCAGCGGGGAGCAGACCTAAGCTGCAGTCAGACATTCTTAGCACTGCTGAGGAGGCAGGAGAGGCTCCCACCACCACCGCTGTACTGGCAGCCATCAGCCTGGCTTGTGGCTGAGCAGAGCTCCCCCATGTGAGAGCGCACTGACCACCAGAGGGCAGCTCCTGCATTGAGTGTCTGCCCCCTAGTGGTCAGTGTGTGTCATAGTGACCAGTCATTCCCAGTCTTTCTGCTGTTAGGGTCAGTTTGCATATTACCCTTTTACTATATAGGATAGAGGCCTGGTGCATGGGTGGGGGCCAGCTGGTTGGCCCTGAAGTGTGTCCCGGATCAGGGTGGGGGTCCCGCTTGGGTGCCTGGCCAGCCTGGATGACGGGCTGATGGCTGTTTGCAGCTGGTCACACCCCCTTCAGGGTGGGGGTCCCCACTGGGGTGCCTGGCCAGTCTGGGTGAGGGGCTGAGGGCCGTTTTCAGGCTGGTCTGCGACTGAAGCTCCCCCCTCTTTTTTTTTTTCTTTTATTCTGGGATTTATTTACCTTCTATAGCTGTCACTGGAGCTGAGAGCCAGCTCCAGCTCTGAGGCCCTGCTCCAGCTCTGAGGCCGTGGCTGGCTGAAAGCAGGTATCTGGGGTTTGTTTAGCTTCTATAATTGAAACATTGTTGCTGTCCTGCTCGCTCCAACTCTGAGGCAGCGGCTGGCTGAAAGCAGGTATCTGGGGTTTGTTTAGCTTCTATAATTGAAACATTGTTGCTTCCGGAGCTCAGAGCTGGGCCGAGGCAGACGGGGAACCTTGGCTTCCTCCATCACTGGAGCAAGCAAGCCTCATATTCGCTTCAGCTGCGTGGCTGCCGGCCGCCATCTTTGTTGGCAGTTAATTTGCATATCCTGCTGATTAGCCAATGGGAAGCGTAGCGGAGGTATGGTCAATTACCATGTTTGTCTATTATTAGATAGGATTACTTGTAATTTTATGTCTCCAGTCCTGACCTCCCTCTCTCTTCAATATGTCTGATCAGTTGACATCTCTAGTTGGATGTCAATCGGATAAAACTGGATTTGCCCCAAACAACTTTTGATTTCCTCTCAACATGCTCTTTCCTTAGTGTTTCCTAAGTATGCATAGTCAATTGTAGATCTTTTTAAAAATGCAAGTGCCTGGCCATCTGAGACCACCTGAATCTGAACCTAAAGTACTATCATTCACTTAGTTGCTAAGTCAACAAAACATAAAGTCATCCTAGACTTTGTTCTCACACCCCACATATAACCCATTAACAAATTCTGTTAGTTTTACCTTCTAAATAAATCTAAATCTGACTATATTGCACTTCCCCTCTGCTGCCATCCTAGTATAAGCCAACATTTCTCTCCTGGACTACAGTAGTAGCCTATTAACTGCTTCTATTATGTTATTTTAGTCTCTTCTCCAGAGAACAATCAGATTGATCCTTTTAAAAAGGGAATTGGATTATGCTGCTTGCTTTTCTCTTACTTTTCCATGGCTTTCAATTCAAAGACCCTTCCCTGATTTGGTCTTTGGTTACCTTTTTTATCTCATTTTCTACTACTTTTTCCCTTGTTCACTCTGCTTTAGCCACCCTTATTTGGGCCTTTGTTTTGTTGTTTCCTGTGTCTGGAATTCTGTTCCCACAGATACTCATATGGCCCAATGTCTATTCCATTTAGCTCTCTATTTAGATAGTGATTTCTCAGAGAGGCCTTTTCTTATCATTTTACTAAAATTGCACCCTTTTCTTACTATTTCTTCTTACCTTGCTTTATTATTCTTATTGTACAGTTGATCCTTGAACAATGTGGGGTTAGGAGTGCAGTCCCCCATGCAGTTGAAAATTCCACATATATTTTGACTCCCCCCAAAATTAACTACAGTTCCACCCTGCCTGGTATGGCTCAGTTGGTTAGAGTGTTGTCTCAAGCACCAAAGGGATTCAGTCCCTGGTTGGGACACATATGGGAGGAAGCCCATTAGTGTATCTTGGTGAGCTTATGATAGTTTAATAACTGTCTTTTCTTCTCTGAAATTCCAGAGATAGTCCCTATTCCATCCTGTTTATATTAAGAGCATATTAATAACAGATCCTTTGGGATGATATGAGTTAAGGGTTGTATAATGCTGTTAATGATATAGTTAGGTGAAATAGCCAGTCCCAGCTAATTCTTCTGATGCTCAGTTCTTTCATTTAAATAAAAATTAAAATGATTTTAAATAATTTGGAAATTTAACACATATTTATCTTTTTCTTATTTTAGTTGATTACAGACATAGTGAAACCAGTGCAACAGTTCTGATGGTTGCCGCAGGACGAGGTTTTTCAAGTCAAGTAGAGCAGTTAATTAGTATGGGAGCCAATGTCCATAGCAAAGCATCAAATGGCTGGTAATTTTAAATTGTATCCATTCTTTGTATATCTTTGTATAGGTACACATATTTTTTGACTTTTCATATTTATCTTTATATTAAAAGCTATTGTGTAATAATTGCTGGTACATCTCTAATGGGTGAATGAAAAATTTTGAGCAACTACTAGTTTTGTAGTTTTGAGAACATTATTTATTTGTCTTAATTTGATATCTTTGAATTTTGGCAGGATGGCTTTAGATTGGGCTAAACACTTTGGGCAGACTGAAGTTGTGGATCTTCTAGAATCTTACAGGTAAAACTTTATACTATGTTTAATTCTAACTGCTTTTTAAAAAATCTCAGCCATGTAAATTATAGAAAGTGACAAATTTACAGTCCCTTATTGAGATATTTTGTGTGTGTGTGTGTGTGTGTGTGTGTGTGTGTGTGTGATTCTAAGGAATTTTTCTGATTTTTTGGTGTAGGTTGCTAATAAGATCCACTGTGTTATAATATTTATCTTATTTTTTATTTTATTTTGAAAAAGCAGAAGGGGAATTTCCAGTTAAACGTGGTAGCTACAGACATGTATTTATCACTGCATTTTCCCAAAACTTGACTAAAATGATAAGGAAAGGAATATAAAATGTGTAAACTGGCAAAATTATTTGGCAGATCCAAATGTTAATTCTAGTATGGTGGGTTTTGTTGTTATTTCAATAATAGCACTCAGAACCTGCAATCCTTTTAATGCTAACATTTTTAATGTTTCAGACATTCTTTTTTTTTTTTTTAATATATTTTTATTGGTTTCAGAGAGGAAGGGAGAGGGAGAGAAAGATAGAAACATCAATGATGAGAGAGAATCCTTGATCGGCTATCTCCTGCACAACCCACACTGGGGACTGAGCCCGCAAATGCCCTGACCAGGAATTGAACCATGACCTCCTGGGTCATAGGTTGATGCTCAACCACTGAACCACCGTGGCTGGGCTGTTTAGACATTTTTATGGTGTCAGGTATAGCACACTAGACACTACAAATTACCAAGTAATTATCTAGATAATATTTTAATTATTCTGGTTAATTGGGCTTTCTTTTTATTTCCCAGATTATGACATTATCAATTACAAATTTTAAATATTTAAAATTAAATATATTATGTTTGTTGCATAATTCATAATTGATATCTAAAGTTTATAGCTTAAAACAAATAATGTAATAGCATCTTCATTTACCTGTTAAAAAGTAAGAAAAAAACTTGGAATGTTTTAAAATGGATCTTAAAGTTTAAATACTGCAATTATAAAGTTGTATAAGTTTAATGTTTTCCCCAATGAAAGCAGTCTTATGTTTATCTTTCTGCCAAACTCTTTTAGAGAGATTGTATTATATTTATTTCCTAGAAATCTTATGGATAAATACTAGTGATAGTAGTAGTTTATATCTTTACTAGAGGCCCGATGCACGAAAATTCGTGCAAGAGTAGGCCTTCCTTCCCCCGGCTGTTTGCACCGGCTTCCCTGTGGCACCCAGGACCTGGGCTTCCCTCCTCCAGCCGCTGGCAGGCACCTGGGACCCGGGCTGGCTTCCCCCGGGCCTCCCGCAGGCACCTGGGACCTGGGCTGGCTTCCCCTGGGCCGCCTGCAGGCACCCGGGACCCCTACTGGTTTTCCCCAGGCCGCATGCAGGCACCCAGGACCCAGGCTGGCTTCCCTCAGGCCTCCCGCAGGCGCCTGGGATCCGGCTGGCTTTCCTCCAGCCCCAGCTTCGTCAGGAAGGGCATCCGGAAGATGTCTGGTCTAATTAGCATATTCCCCCATTTATTTTTATAGATGTGTAGGATAAAGAATTAAGGCATTTATTTCAGTAATTTATGCTGAATCTGGCTTTTGGAAAATAGCAAAATTAACTTACTTTTAGTATAGAACTACCAAATTAAGAATCTTGTTAAGTTGGTACCTATAGAATTTTCTTTAAATGGAATTTTCTTCAGAGTGTTGTTTATCATAGTGAAGAATAAGAAACAACCTACTAAGAAAATATAATGATGACCATAAGTTTGGTTTTTAAATGTTTATTGAGATAAAATTCATAAACCATATCAATCACCCAATTAAGTGTGCATTTAAAGTTTTTTAGTATGTTTACAGTGTTATGCAGTCATTACCACAATCAATTTTAAGAACATATTCATTACCCCAAGAGGAAATCTATACTATCAGTCACTCCTCATTTTCCCCAACTCTCACAGCCCAAAGCATCCACTAATGTTCTGTTTCTATAGATTTGTCTATTCTGGGTATCCTATATAATAAAGGGTAATATGCAAATTGACCCTAACAGGTAACCAACCAGGAATGATCGGTCGCTATGACACTCACTGACCACCAGGGGGCAGATGCTTAATGTAGGAGCTGCCTCCTGGTGGTCAGTGCACTTCCACAGGGGGAGCGCCACTCAGCCAGAAGCCGGCTCATGGCTGGTCAGCACAGCAGTGGTGGTGGGAGCCTTGCCTGCCTCCGTGGCAGCGCTAAGGATGTCTGACTAGTGGAGCGGGCCTGAGCCAATAGTCGGACATCCTCCAAAGGCTCCCAGGCTGCCAGAGGGATGTCTGACTGCCAGCTTAGGCCTGATCCCCCCACGAGTGGGCCTAAGCAGGCAGGTGGACATCCCCCGAGGGTTTCTGGACTGCCAGAGGGCGCAGGCCGAACTAAGGGGACTCCCTCCCGTGTGCACGAATTTTCATGCACCAGGTCTCTAGTTCCATATAATTGGAATCATATAATATGATTGATGGTCTTCTGTGATTGGCTTTGTTCACCTAGCATGATGTTTTCAAGGTTTATTCATGTTGCAGCATCCTTTTCTGATTGAGTAATATTCCATTCTGTGGACAGATCACAGTTTTTTATCCATTCATTAGTTGATGAACATTTTGGTTGTTTCTACTGTTATGAATAATATTGGTATGAACATTTGTCTACAAATTTTTATGTGGACATGTATTTTTATTTCTTTTGTATATATACCTAAGAGTCAAATTGCTGGGGCATATGGTAACACTCTGTTTAACATTTTGAGAAACTGACACATTGTTTTCAAAATGGCTGCGGTATTTTACATTCCTACTTAGCAATGTGTGAGGGGAAAGTTCCAATTTCTCCACACCCTCTCTAACATTGTTTTTTAATGAAGTGTTATCTCGTGGTTTTGATATTTGTTTCTCTAATGACGAATAACATTTTTTCATGTGTTTTTTGGTCATTTGCATATTTTCTGTGGAGAAATTTCTTCAGGTTGTGTTTTTTAAAAAGTACTTATTGTCAAATTTACTTTGAATAATGTACTTTAAACCAAAACATGAATTATAGTTGGGACATTAAATATCACTTATCTTTCTTAATGTCTGTTGAAAATTTGAAGAAGGACATAGTGGGGCTCATTGGTCTTAAAGGGTTATTCTTTTTAATTAAAGTTGACTTGGCCTTCTTTTTTTTAGTGCTTCATTGGAATTTGGAAATCTAGATGAAAGTTCTCTGGTTCAAACAAATGGAAGTGACCTCAATGCAGAAGATAGAGAGCTCCTGAAAGCTTATCATCATAGTTTTGATGATGAAAAAGTAGACTTGGATTTGATCATGCATCTCCTGTACAATATCTGCCATAGTTGTGATGCTGGTAAATAAGTGTTGTCTAAAAGATCTGGAACAAAATGTATACTTTGATTTAAAAATTAATAATTTGTGTGTACAAATTTTTGTATAATTCCCTTGACAATGCATAACCTCTTAAGTATCTTAATTATTACAGTTTATCAGTACTTGAAAACATGTGATATAGTTCATTATAGCTAATTCTATTGATTGGTTCTGGTTTTACATGAAATTTAATATTAACAAAATCATTTCTCTCCAAGGTGCAATATTAATTTTTCTGCCTGGATATGATGAAATTGTTGGACTGAGGGATCGCATCCTATTTGATGATAAGCGGTTTGCTGACAATACACATAGGTAAAAACTAAAGCTTTATATTTTTTGATTTAAATTAAAGATAGGCACCATAGTATATTTTCTCTTTCAATTGTCAACAGATATCAAGTCTTTATGCTTCATTCAAACATGCAAACATCTGATCAAAAGAAAGTATTAAAAAACCCACCTGCAGGTGTTCGAAAAATAGTAAGCTTCATAAAATTTTATTTTTTCTATTTTAGTAGTCATTGGTTCTGTTTTCATATTAACTATAACATAACATCCCATTGCAGATCCTTTCCACCAATATTGCTGAAACCAGCATCACAGTCAATGATGTTGTCTTTGTTATTGATTCTGGTAAGGTGAAAGAGGTATGTATGGTTAAGTTGTATTTTCAACTCAAATGAGGAAGGTTAAGATGCATTTAAGTACATGCTTTCATAAGAAGAATTCACTTTAATGGGGATATTTCTGGTTCTAGATAAATTTAACAGTAAATGTTAATTTCACTAAAGTGAATATTCTCCCTTAAACAATTCAGTGTATAGGATCTATCTTGTTATTTTTACAAATTATACAAAAAAGTAGCTTTTGCTCACTACATATTAGGAAGGAAGTAAAGGGTTTGGCTAGTTACAGTGAAAATTTTGTCCAACTGTGGGCATTTGATTACATGTTTTCATTCTACATGTGGGAATGGCCCATATCCTTCTTATTTATTGTTATATCTTCAATGCTCCAAGAATAGTAGGTAATCAGGAGATATTTAATGTAAGGGAGCCATACTGAAAGAAAGCAAACAAAAAATAAATTTCATTAGATCACTGCCATGTTTAATCTTTGACCTATTGTCTATGGCTGCTTTTACACTGCAGTGGCAGAGTAGTTGCAACAAAGACCCTCTGCAAAGGCTAAAATATTTAGTACCAGCCCCTGCTGTAAATAAAAGTCAGCATTTCCTTTTAGTAATGGAGTGCCTAGCAACTCTCATTTCACTGAAAGAATTGAAAATGATAAAGGTAGTTGATTTGTCAAGGAAAGAAATACTATCCATGTTGTAGAAGGCAAAGTATGTCTGTTCTAGTGGATATAAATAATGGTTTTTAATGTGAAAATTTTTTTAATTACTTTATAATATTTTCAGTGTTCATTTTCAAGATGTTTCTAGGAATATCTTGTAGAAAAAATTTTTATAAAATTTGGACATTTCATTGTAGTTGGATACTGTAAAGAAGGGGTACATTTTATTTTTTATAGGAGAATAATTATGAATATTATTAAAAATCTGAATAGTGAGTCAATGAAAATTCAGATTTTATTGCCCTAAAATTATCTAGAGCTGAAGTAGATTTTGAATATCTTAGAAATTAATTTCTTTAGGTGTTATTTATCAAATAAACATGACAAATGTAACATTTTATTAAAAACTAAATAAGTAGCATCTTTTCTAAAAATCCCAGAAACTATTAGGAGAAACACATTTGTAGTTTTATATAGTTATTTTTTGAAAGGGAAATTATTGTCACTGAATGTTTGAAGCATATTTTAGTCATGTTTCTCTACAGTAAATTTTCTTTGAGGAAGTATGCTGTAACATTCTGGATCGGCTAACTACATTACAGTAGTAGCTCAGCAGGAGATACAGTGGAAGGGATTAAAATGTTTTTCACTTTGGGATAGGATTGTTTCAGCTATTGTTATTCTTTTAAAAAAATATATTTCTTTATTGATTTCAGAGAGGAAGGAAGAGGGTGAGATAGAAACATCAATGATAAGAGAGAACAATTGATTGGCTGCCTCCTGCACACCCCCTACTGGGGATGGAGCCCGCAACCCAGGCTTGTGCCCTTGGCCGGAATCGAACCCGGGACCCCTCAGTCTGCAGGCTGACGCTCTATCCACTGAGCCAAACCAGCTAGGGTGGCCATTGTTATTCTTATTTCTCTAGATCAAGCTTCCTAGAAAGTATTTTAGAAAAATGTTTTTTCCTGATCTGTTCTTCACAATGATGTAAACCTGATGGACAGTGATGTGAAGAGAATAGATTAGTTCTTTCCCATCTTGATGCCTTATGAGAACTGACTGCTATTATTTAACTGTAGAAGAGAGAAACAAATAGCTCAGCAAGGCACAGAATGAGGGAGTTTTTCAGGTCTTCTGAGTTATTATTCTTTTTCTTTAGAATGTTTGTAGTCAGAAATCTGGATTAAAAAAAATTAGTACTCTGCTGTAATTATCTAATCAAGGGGCACTCTGAATTAAACTTGGCATATTAAAATATAACTAGAGGCCCGGTGCACAAAGTTCGTGCACTTGGGGGGGTGCGTCCCTCAGCCTGGCCTGCGCCCTCTTGCAGTCCGGGATCCCTGGGGGGATGTCCCACTAAGCCTTCAGTCAGACATCCTTAGCATTGTCATGGAGGCGGGAGAGGCTCCCACCACTGCCCCTGGGCTCGCCAGCCATGAGCCCGGCTTCTGGCTGAGCAGTGCTCCCCCTGTGGGAGCACACTGACCACCAGGGGGCAGCTCCTGCATTGAGTGTCTGCCCCCTGGTGGTCATTCCACCATTTGGTCATTTGCATATTAGCCTTTTATTATATAGGATGGTTTTGCTATTTCTTCCTAAATGCCTTTTAAGTTTTAACATGAAGGTGATTTAAATATTACAGAAATCCTTTGATGCACTGAATTTTGTTACAATGTTAAAAATGGTGTGGATTTCCAAAGCTAGTGCCATACAACGAAAGGGCAGGTAATGTATATTTAATGTACATTCAAAAATTGCCTGTAAAATGGAAACATATTCATATGTATTACATATTAATGTATATTGCAGTTTCTGTAAAATGTTAACATTTTCATGTTAGTCTTTATTTTATATTACTTTTGCAAAGCAAACTAATTTAATACTGTTTAAAAAATATCACATTCAGGTTATGTTAAAATTAAAAATTTTTGCCTGGTATAAACCATATTCATAACATGTAAGAAACTTAAAACAAAAAATAAAAGCAAAAATGTCAAACATTTGCAAGATGGGACAAAGGACTAATTTTTGTATTATACAAAAAAGCTTTTAAAAAACTGGTTAATAAAGACCAGCACATTAACTTCACATATGTTACCTTATGTATATACCAAAATAAATGTAAATTAATGAGGTACTGCTTATCAGATTGACATTGATGAAAATGTTAATAGTGCGTGCAACAGAGCTGGCAAAAGCATGGGCCTATAGGCTTTCATAGTTTGCTGATGGGAGTGTAAATTGGTGAGATTTCTTCAGAGGGCAGTTTGAAACTGTTTATCCAAATCTACCCTTCCATAGTGGATTCCACTTCTCATAATTTATCCTGAGTATACTTGCACATGATGTATGTTTAAGAATGTTTTTCATAGCATTTTTTTGTAATAGTTTGGGAACACTGTAGTGTCCATCAACAGTGAAGTGGTTATATTGCTAAAGCCACACAGTGGTATACCAGTGTAACTGTTAAAAGGAAAATATTTGGATGTATGTCTTTTTATGTGGGATGAGTTTTCAGAATATATTAAGTGAGAAAAGTAAGGTATGGAACATGTCTCTCATATTCTGCTGTACTAAAAAATATATGTTTGTATATATATTTAGATGTAAATGCATTGTTAAGTCCGAGAGAAACATTGAAAAACAATTATTGGCTCTGTGTTTCACTTACTGACAATTGTAAACCTACTTTGCCCACCCCTATATATCATTTAGGTACCATTCATGAATCTCACTTTATAAATGAGATAATGGAGTCCTAGACAAGTGAAGTGCCGTCATAAAGGATAAGTGTCAGAGTAGCAATTCAAACTCGGATGTCCTGATACTAGTTCAGTGTTCTATATCCTAAATCACATTGGTTGTACAGTTTACTTATTATAGTCTTTATTCCTGAGTCTTAATTTTGTATTTTACTTTAAAGGGCAGGGCGATGTAGACCTGGAATTTGTTTTCGTCTGTTCAGTAGACTCCGATTCCAGAATATGTTGGAATTTCAGACTCCAGAACTTTTGAGAATGCCATTACAGGTAGAAGTTTACTTAACTCTAAAAGCCTATCTTTGTGGGAAAGGGAGGAGAAGGGATCATTTCAACTTATGCTGATTTGACTTTTCAATAATCAATTTATGAAACAATTTATAAAACAAAATTATCAAATATATATTATGGTAGGTGGTTATGTATATAACTAATATTTTTTATATACAGAAAATTTAATTTACAAACCTTCAAAGCTTTAAAGAATTACTTGAGTATAGTTTATAAGAATAGCATTTGTTTTTGTGCATTATTCTAGGAGTCTGTCAACCATGTAGTTTTCACCTTTTACATTTTCAATGAGGATTACAAAACAAATTATTTGACGTCCAAAACATAATACCAGAATCTCAGTTTAAGATGCTGAGGTTACCTTGGTAGATTTGGAACTAAGTTCACTGAAATTTCCTGGCCGTTACTGTTTTCCTTCAGGTTTTCTGACTTCATGGAACAGCCTAGGGAAAACTATCATAGCATTAATTCGATTCTCTGCTGTGCTGAACTAGATGCTGACTCCCAAACCTTTAAAGAGACACTACATCATATTTTTGGTAACCACATATCTAGATGACTTCCCACTTCCTCATGCTCATGTGCCATTTTATGTTCTTCTTAGGACAAATTATAAAATTCTTAACAAACGCCTAAATTATTTCTCAAGCTTGTGTCTCCAGTTTTAATTTTTTAGCTCCTGCCTTTTGTCCTCTCTCTACTCATACCAGTAGTTTTCATTTCCCAAGCACATCTTATTTGTATTGATCTTAGGGCCTTCATATGTGCTATTCCCTCTCGCGAGACTCCTCCCCCTTACTCTTTTTATAATTAACTCCTACTCAGTCTTTATGTCTTAGTTTAAATGTCATTTCCTCAAGAAATGGTTTTTGACTAAAATGGCTTCCTTTTCCTGCTTCTTCCTGAACTTGATTAATTTACCTCTTCAGCTCCCTGTGTCCTTCATAGCATTTATCACAGTTGTAATTAAAGAGTTAATTATGTAATTATTCTGTTCTTCACACACAATGAAAACTTCATGAGGGTGGACACTTGTCTGACAGTCTGTCCTCTTCTTTTTCTCCAACTTGCTGCACAGTACCTAGCACTTAGTAAGCACTTAAGTATTTGTTGAATAGATACAAGATTCCAGAAGGTAATATAAAGGAAAAAAAAGATATTTTGGACAGTAACTCTTAAAACTGTGTGAGGAGACATTGTCACTGGTGGCAGTGGTAATTTTGATATGAATTGTTGGAGGGTGTTCATAAAAATTTTGGAACCTAGGGCAAAGTATGAGCCTATGTTTCCTTGAAAGACATTGTTCCCTTTACTGTTGTTCATTTTAGTCAGAGACTGCTAGTCTTTGGGAACTGTAGTTCTCATGATTTCTTTAAAAATAAATGTCAATATCTCAAAATTATTTGCTATTCTTATTTACAGGAACTTTGTTTACATACCAAACTGTTAGCTCCAGTTAATTGTCCTATTGCGGATTTCCTTATGAAAGCTCCTGAACCTCCACCAGCTTTAATTGTACGGAATGCTGTACAAATGCTTAAGGTTCGTGTCTTAATGGTTTTATTTAACCTATATGAAATTTAAACCAAATGAGAACACATCTTAACTAAAACGATCTTAACCATGTACTTTGAATAAATACTGTTGTGGTAGTTATAATAAAACAGTAGCTCGTTTTAATATATTTAAAGCAAAATATATTTTTTGTGTGTGATGTGATAGCAAAACAAAGTTTACATTCTCATTTCTTTTTTATAGACTTTTAGATATGTCATTTGCTTAAACATAGTTTTTGGTTATGTTAAATTCTGTCTTCTATTCTTTTGTTTAGACAATAGATGCAATGGATGCATGGGAAGATCTCACTGAACTTGGATATCATTTGGCTGACTTGCCAGTAGAACCACATCTTGGTAAAATGGTCCTGTGTGCTGTTGTTTTAAAGTGTCTGGACCCTATCCTTACAATTGCCTGCACACTAGCCTATCGAGATCCTTTTGTCTTGCCAACTCAGGCCTCTCAAAAACGCGCAGCTATGCTTTGTAGGAAACGTTTCACTGCTGGAACTTTCAGTGATCATATGGCACTTCTCAGAGCATTCCAGGTACTATCATTGTTATTTCATTTCTGAAAATGTTGCTGGTTAAACACATTTCTGGAGCAAGTGTAAGAAATTTAAAAACTAGATATGATTCTATTAATTTTGTTTCATTATAACATCACATTTTATTAATTTCCCAGAAAAAAATCTTCCTACTGTTAATGTTAACATTATCACAGTTTTTCTCTACTTTTTTTCTTTCATTTTATCTTTGTAGGAATATGTGTATTGTAGGTGTGTACATACTTATTTTTATTTATACTTGTATTTATTTTTAATACTCAAGTTTCTTTTTTTTTTTTTTTTTTTTTAATATATTTTTTATTGTTTTTTTACAGAGAAGAAGGGGGAGGGATACCAAGGTACATGCCCCTGACCGGAATCGAACCTGGGACCCTTCAGTCCGCAGGCCGACGCTCTATCCACTGAGCCAAACCGGTTCGGCAATACTCAAGTTTCTTATCTTTCAATTATATCTTGGGCAAGGAATGCTCTAAAATTTTAGTTAATAACACTCTATGTTACTCGAAATATATAGAACAAAGCTTAGAAGAAATTTACCTTGAGTTTAATGTCTATTTTTTTTTTTTAGAGTACACCTTTTTTTTTGTATGATCAAGACACTATGCTAAGAACTTAATTTTATAAAGCAAAATAAAAAAAAATCACTTAAAACCTATCCTATATAATAAAAAGCTAATATGCAAATCGATTGAATGGCAGAATTACCAGTCGCTATGACATGCACTAGCCACCAACCGGCAGACGCTCAATGCAGGAGCTGCCCCCTGGTGGTCAGTGCACTCCCACAGGGGAGCGCTGCTCAGCCAGAAGCTGGGCTCACGGCTGGCTAGCGCAGCGGCGGTGGCCGGAGCCTCTCCCGCCTCTGCCGCAGTCGGACACCCCCCTAGGGCTCCCAGACTGCGAGAGGGCACAGGACGGGCTGAAGGACCCCCCCCCCCACTCCTCCCTCCCTGAGTGCATGAATTTCGTGCACCAGGCCTCTAGTTAAGATAATAGTAGTGAAAAATGAGGAAAGGGCTAAATGGGAAAGGAAAGATAAGGAAAGTGAGGCTTTGAAGAAGGGAAATTATATATAATTTAGAAATTCAGATGCAGGGGATAATTTCATTATTTCTTCAAAAGGTAGACATGTTATTTATCCTTAAATTCTTCTGAATGTAGTCTATGCCTATACATTAAAAAAGCATTTTTTTTTTTGTTTAAGCTGAAAATACTTTTTTTCAAGTATTTCCTTATAATACATACAATTTACAAAAATATTTACAAGCTTCTTTTGTGTGAGCATTATTAAACAACTAGAGGCCTGGTGCACGAAATTGTGCATGGGTACGGTCCCTAGGCCTGGCCTGTGATCAGGGCCATCTTTCCCGGCTGCCAGCAGCCGGCCCCGCCCTCTGCTGCCACCCACCCCCGGTTTCCTGTTTGCCATCGGCGATCGGAACCTGACAGCCAGGGGAAGGGACTGAGAGGTTGGCCATTCCCACCTGCTTGTTGGCCCCACCCCCACTGCGGGTCACCCTCTGTGTGTAGGCTGACCGGTGGGGTGGGGGCCTTGGCCTGGAGCCACACGTGTCCTCTGCCACCCACCCCCGGTTCCCCGTTCACCATTGGGCAATCAGAGCCTTCCGGCCAGGGAAAGGGACCGAGAGGTGGTCAGTGCGCCTCATAGTGACTGGTTGAGAAGTCCTTCTGATTGTTCCACCCTTAGGGTCAATTTGCATATTACCCTTTTATTATATAGGATAGAGGCCTGGTGCACAGGTGGGGGCTGGCTTCCCTGCCCTGATGTGGGCCCCACATTGGGGTGGGGGTCCCTGCTGGGGCGCGGGGCTGGTCCGGGTGAGGGGCCACGGCCATTCTGGTCTCTGATCGTTCTGGTCATTCCGCCATTTTGGTCGCTGGGCTTTTGTTATATAGGATGGATAATGCATTGCTCTTAATTGAGTCTGTGATATCTTGTATTATCACAGATCAGTTGAGTGACAATAATTAGAGGAAGATTTGGAGAATTCCTGTCTATTCTTTGCTTTTCCCCAGCTCCTTGAAAAGAAGAGGGGATAAATTACTGCTTTGATCTATCGGTTTTATTTCAAAGCAAAAGAACTCATTTTAAAAGAGGAGTTATTTTATATAGCACATAGATAGTTTCTAGAAATCCCACTTTCCATTCTCAGACTGATTAAGAGGTTGATACAGAGGCTATTTTTGGAGGAATGGAGGATTCTTAGATATAAATGTACTATGATGGCTTAGTTTTAAAGGCTCTATACCAGCGGTTCTCAACCTGTGGGTTGCGACCCCTTTGGGGGTTGAATGACCCTTTCACAGGGGTCGCCTAAGACCATTGGAAAACACATATATAATTACATATTGTTTTTGTGATTAATCACTATGCTTTAATTATGTTCAATTTGTAACAATGAAATTGGGGGTCACCACAACATGAGGAACTGTATTAAAGGGTCGCAGCATTAGGAAGGTTGAGAATCACTGCTCTATACTTTTGTGAAGGACAATTAGCACCTGTATTTGAAAGGTAAATATTTTTACATAACTGCTCATTTAGGTTTCCTGATACTTAGTTCTCTCATTGAGATTTTTATAAACTCAAAAGACTTTCTTAGCATTTGAGTATATATTAACTAATGATAAATCACAAAGTCTTAGATTTTATTTTTTATATTTAAATTTTAAATTATTTTTTTTTCTTTTAAATATATTTTTGTTGATTTCAGAGAGAGGAAGGCAGAGGGAGAGAGATAGAAACATCAATCAGCTGCCTCCTGCACTCCTCCTACTGGGGATCGAGCCTGTAACTTGGGCATGTGTCCTGACCAGGAATTGAACCAGCCACTTCTTGGTGCATGGGATGATGATCAACCAACCAAGCCACATCAGTCCAGTGTTAAATTATTTATTTTTTAAAAAATTGAGGTATAATTGGCATATAAGTTTCAGGTGTACAGCATAATGATAAGATATTTGTATATATTACAGAATGATCACAGTCAATCTAGTTAACATCCATCTTCAAACAGTTATAATTTTTTCTCTTGTGATGAGAACTTTTAAGATCTACTCTCTAGTCTGTTAATTAGATTTATTCTGAAGATTATTTCACAATATATACAAATATTGAATCACTATATTGTACACCTGAAACTAATATGTTACATGTCAAGTATATCTCATTAAAAAAAAGTTTATTTTAAAAAAGTTCTTCTCTCTTAGCTACTTCCAAATATGCAATATAGTGTTATCAACTATAGTCCCCATGCTGTACATTATATCCCCAGCGTTTAAACTTCATTTATAACTGACAGTTTGTGTCTTTGACCACCTTTACCCATTTTGCTCACTTGCTGGCAAGTATCAGTCTGTTCTCTGCATCTACATTCTTTTTTTTTTTTTTTAAATAAAGTCTTAGATTTTATAAAATAATTAGAAGAAGAAGAATTGACCTTGAGTGGTTAATGTAGTGGTTTTCAGTTACTTTGTTGCCTAAGAAGTGTCTGGTACATGTATTATGTTATATAATTATATTTTTATAGGCATGGCAGAAAGCACGAAGTGATGGGTGGGAGCGAGCCTTTTGTGAAAAGAATTTTCTTTCACAAGCTACCATGGAAATAATCATAGGCATGAGAACTCAATTGCTCGGTCAACTTAGAGCATCAGGTAATGTTTTCACACAAAGAACCTATTTAAACCACTGAGAGAACCCTGCCAATACCTCGTAGTATTTCTAGTATTAACTGATGCCATCTTATATTATTGTTATGACATTATCACATTTTTGTGATATTCATTACCTGTTTTGTAGATTTCCATGTGACCTCAGCTTTTGTTTGTTGAAAAAATTGACACTGCAGAATTGTCATTGAGAAATGTGTGAATACCTTTTGATACTGTTGGCAGTGAACACTTTAAAATGTATTTGTTGGTAAAGATCAGTTTAGATATTACAGTTATATTTTATCACTATTAATAAACAGTTATTTAGCTCTATGAAATATAAATTATAAAAAATTAAGTAGCTTGATACAAATGCTGGCCTTCATATTTTTGGAACATAAAACAAGTAATCACTTGAAGGCATTTTGATTTTTTTTTATGTAGCTATTTTATTTTAGAATTGCTAATTCCTTTTTGAGTAGCATAATACATTGAAAAAATAGAAGATAACTACCAGAGTCTGGATTTACAGATGAGCTGAAGTGCCAAAGTAATATAAGGAATAAACCACAGGGTTTAGAGTTGTCTCAAATATGGGACAATATGAAGTACTTTTGGAATTATTATTAGAATGGTTTAGGTTTTCAGCTATGTTTTAGTGTGTTTCAGATAGCAGCTTATGAATAACTTGACTGCAAGAATGTGTAATTTAAAAAATATTTTTATTGACTTCAGAGAGGGAGGAGAGAGAGAGAGAGAGAGAGAATCAGTGATGAGAGAGAATCATTGATCAGCTGCCTCCTGCTCACCCCACACTGGGGATTGAGCCCGCCACCCAGGCATGTGCCCTGACTGGGAATCGAACTGTGACCTCTTGGTTCATAGGTCATCGCTCAACCACTGAGCTCTGCTGGCCAGGCAAGAATGTGTAACTTTTAAAAAGTTTCTAAGCCCCCAATGAATCTTCTTCTTTTTTTAGCATGAGCAAACGTAAACTTTCTTAGAACATTGATTCTATATTTTAAATTAGATTTTATTAATGATTGTGGAATTTGAATATCATTAAACTTACATAGGTCCTACAATTTTTTTTATAAAAAACACACAAATTTAAAAGTATGTTGTGAACAATAGGAAAAGTAGGTGTGGTTTTTTCCTCTTTCTAGGTTTTGTTAGAGCACGAGGTGGTGGTGACATTCGAGATGTTAACACAAATTCCGAGAATTGGGCTGTCGTTAAAGCTGCATTGGTGGCAGGCATGTATCCTAATTTAGTCCATGTGGACAGAGAGAATTTAGTATTGACAGGGTCAAAGGAGAAAAAAGTACGGTTTCATCCCACTTCAGTTCTCAGTCAGCCTCAATATAAAAAGGTAAAACATTTTTAATGCTCTTAGGCCTTGAGGTGAAACTCATCTAATTTAGATGGTTGAAAAATCAATGAAAAATGTTCTACATACTGACCTGCTTTAAGAAATTGATTATATATATGTGTGTATAATTCATTATTGGGACAAAATTTTGATTGACTCTTAGAGCTGAAAGAGTTAATGTGTTAAGTAATGAGAACTTTTGTACAAACTACATGAGCAATGACTTGCTTTAATTTTTGTTTGGGTATGCATCACCCATTTTATTAAGGGACGTTTTACAGTTTAAAATTATTACCAGTAAAGTAGGTGATAAACATAGTTAACAATTTTTAAATTTATTTTCCTGATAGATTCCTCCAGCCAATGGTCAAGCTGCAGCAATTCAGGCACTGCCCACAGATTGGCTTATTTATGATGAAATGACCAGAGCCCATAGAATAGCTAACATTAGATGTTGTTCAGCAGTGACACCCGTCACTGTATTGGTATTCTGTGGACCAGCTAGGTTGGCAAGTAATGCTCTTCAGGAATCTTCATCCTTTCGAGGTAAATGTGTTATGAAGGACATAAAAATCTATTTGAAATGAAATTTTTTCCTTTTTGCTAAACCAAACAAATTTTGAAATTATAAAAACTTACATAGTGTTAGCTCCCTTTTGATATAAGACTAATTAGAAAATACTAAAGCATACCACTGTTCTTGAAATTAATTAACTTGATTTGTACATTTTTTATTAATCTTGCTGATAGGAAGTTTGTTTTTCTCTTCCACTGAATTTAAATGATTAACAAAAATAAAAGGTATTTGTTTAAAGGAAATAATAGTTACCCATAATCTTATTACCCTTATGTAAACATATTTAATATTATATATTTTTCTGTAGATATATACATATTTTAAATTATTTTACCCATACTATTATTTTATATTCTGCTGTTTTGATTGTATAGAATATAAAAAACATGAAATATTTTATATTAATGGCTGCAAAATATTCTATCATATTAAAGTGGTATATTGTATTTAAAATGTTTCTTTACAATTGGACATCTTGATTGTTTCTAATTTTTTCCTATTTGGTGACTCAGCAAATATTTACTATTTGAATAACTGCTATATGTCAGGTATTGTGGTAGGTATTGAGGATGTGACAGAAAACAAAATAGACAAGTTACTTCTGTCCTTAGGAGTTTACATGGTTGTGGATGGTAGTCAGACAGCAAAAAAGTAAGTGTTTTATATAGTACTATGAAAGAAATAAAGCAGACTGCCTTAGGGATGACCTACTTTAGAAAGAAACCCTAGACAAATTTCTCTGAGGAGAAGTGATTTAAGCTGAGACCTAAAGTATGAGAAGAAGCTAGCCATGTGAAGATAATAAATAAGTTGGCAAGGGCCAAGATTCTGCACTAAGAAATGATCTAGGAATTGACCTAAAGGTATGTGATTGGAAACACAGTGATCAAAGAGAGAGTGGGGTGGGATAAGGTTTGAGAACTGATGTTTTTCTTAATTTGACCTACAGTTTCATGATTTAAAGCTGTTAGCCTTCCTTCTATCATATATAATATCCATTTTTGTTAGTTTTATATATTTTGAGTTCTGTGGTGTTTTTGTATTGTTTTGTTTTTTAAATCCTCACCAGAAGACATGCTTAGAGAGAGAGGAAGGAAGAGGGAGAAAAACTTTGATTGGTTGCTTTCTCTAAGTGTCCTAATCAGGATTGAGCCTGAAACCCAGGTATGTGCCCTGACTTGGAATCTAACCGGCAACTTTTCAGTGCATAGGACCATGCCCAACCAACTGAGCCACTCTGGCCATTCTAGTTCTGTGTTTTGACCGCTATAGATTCAAATTGAATAATCTTTTTCTATACTGCTCACTTCAGAGCTGAAAAAGTTTCATTCTTCCATGGACCTGATAAGTACTCCGTTTTTTTTCCTTCTTTTGCTATAATTTGATTTTTAAGATAATTTTTTCAACCATGTTGCATTGACTCTGGTTTAAAATGTAGATTTCATGTTTTTCCAAGTGCTTTCCCCTCATCTGCACCAAAATAATCCTTATGTATTGTCTTTTAGAAGGCTTACATTGATTTCATATTACGTTTGGCATGGTAAAACTCTCTGTCTTCTTTTCCTTTAAATTTCTGCCTTTATATTATAATGTTATTCAATAGTTTTGTATTTTAATAAGCTCTAATATCTGGTGGAGGATCTACCCGTAACTCTTTGCTGCTTTTCTATTAAGTTATTTGATAATCTTACCTATTTTTTTTATGAATATTGAGTAGTCACCTTCTTATAAGCCTTTTGGCACCAAACAGTTCTTTTGTGATTTTAATTTAGTGTTTGCTTCCAGCAAATTTAATATATTCTTCTATTTAGCTATATCTTCTATTAAATTTAGCAATTTTTTGGTAACTTTGTAAAGGTTGGATATATTTCTTAAGATGATTCTAAAGATGTTTTGTTTCTGTTTTTGAATTATTATGGTGAATAGGTTTTCTTTATCTTTGCCTGTTGTTCTTGCTTAATAAGAACTCTACCTCAAAGAGTATATTTTATGTACTCTGTTACTTTACTAAGCTCTTATTAGTCCTTTGGATTCTCTATTTTTTAAGTTATATTACCTTTAGGTGGTAATATTTTAATTTGTTACCAAAATTTATTTTTTCATCTCTTTTTCATGATATTGGAAAACCATTAAATGGTCTACTTTGTCTTTTTTAATTTTAAAGGTTTAAATTCTAAAGTTGTACCATTGATTATAATGTTAATTCTTGTTTTAATAAATTATTTTATTCATTAAATTAAGGCAGAATTGTTCTGTTTTTAATGTTTGAAAAATGTGTTGAATTTGTTAAGTAACTTTTGAGCATTTGTTCATGTAATCAGAATTTGTTTCATTTATTGATGTGGTGTATATTTTTTTTATGGAACTACCATCATATTGTTCCAAGAATAAAACTTTCTTGGACTAAGAGTAATTTATTGCAATGCTAAATATTTTGCTAGCACTTATTAAAATTATAATATTTATGTTCATTAGTGAGGCTGACCTACATAGAGTTTGTGTGGTGTGTACATTTGCACATTTAAATATCTTTAGGTTTTTTGTTTTATCAGTTTTAAGGTTAGGTTTAGATTCTCTCATTAAAGAAACTGGCTATTATTTGATTTCTTGAAAGTTTGAGAGACTTGGTGTTCTGGATTTCTTTGTTGTTGTTCTTTAAGGACATCTTGAATTTCTTCCTTAAATAGTCTGAGTTTTTCTATTTTTTATTCTTTCAGTTTTAGTAATTACTTATTCTTTCAGTTTGTTTTATAGAAATGAATTTTCTTTGAAGGTTTCAAGATTCTATAATTCTTTTAAGCTTAACACATTTTGAACCATTTTTACAATTTTATGCTCAGTTTTGATTTTGTGGTTAGATTTGTGCTTTTTTCTCCCTTTATTAATTTATCAGAAGATTGCTTATTAGGTTTTAAGGAACTGGATTATAGTTTTAACTATTAATAACATTTGTCTTCCCTAATATATCATTCTTTTCTTTACTATTTTTAATGTTTTTATTCCCTTATGTTCTTAGTTTTCTTCTTCATCTACTCATTATTTAAATATTTTTTTGGATTTTTTAATTTCTTTTTTGTTTTTTTGCCGTGTGATTAGAGATTGTAGTCTTTACAATTCCTTTTTCCCCCCTCCTTTTAAATATTGAGATTTAATTTGTGACCTATGGGGTTTAGAGAACTCCCCACACAAATTGTTAGTATATCAGGAGGATTTGTGTAAATGTGGTATGTCAATCTATATTTGCTTATTCTTTTTGCTATAATATAAAATGGTTAAAGTGAAAATTTTTCTTTCAATATTTGTTTGGACAGCGGATGGTATTCCTAATGATAGTAGTGATAGTGAAATGGAAGATAGAACTACTGCTAATCTGGCAGCTTTGAAACTTGATGAGTGGCTCAATTTCAAACTAGAGCCTGAGGTAAGTTGCTCTTTAGTAGTGTGATCCAGTTAGTATGATCTGATAAACAATATAATGAAAATTATATCTTTAATATTGGGTTCTTAGCATTAGAGAATACAACTTCTTTTTCAGTTTTGGGCCCTCAGGTATTCTCTGCTGCATTGGGGTTTAATCCAACAGTGGATTTGAAAAACGTAGGTGCAGATCAGTATTTATGCATGGTAATATTTTGAGTATTTCTGTGTCTATAAGGAAATATTGAGTATTGGGTACACAAGAAATCCCTTTATTTTAACTATTTCTAAGAGAAAGATATGAATTCCTTTCTGTTTCCTCTTTTTACATATCTCTGAATTGGGAAAGAGGAATGTTTCTTTTCAAATTAAAAATATTTCTTGACAAAGCCTACCCTTAATTTCATCTCCACTTTTAAAGGTCATTTTATAGCTTTTTGTTTTGTTTTGTTTTGTTTTGGCAGCTAAGCTGTGAATAGTCAACAAGGGCTAAATTTACCTTTTTAGGATTCTTCCATCATTTGAACCTACTGTATGTAGTCTCACTTGAATATCCAATAGCCTGTCACTTCACTGAAATTGTTCTTGCTGAGGACAATATTGTCCTCCATGTTGTCAAAACCAGCCTGCTGTCCTTGACAAATTTGACCTTTTCTCATTTTTGGCAGTATTGTCCATAACCTTCTTTTTGTAATTTTATCTTTCCCATTTTTCCTCCTCACCCCTGTCCCAACTTCTTTGTCACCAGATACTGTGACATTAATCTTTCTTGATTCTTCTTCTTTCTAGAGAGGCCATTTCTTCTTAGGTTCTTTCACGGACTCTTCTGTATGTGTTTGTGCCTTAAATGTCAGATGTTCTCCAATACTTTGTGCTTTGCTTTTTTCACTGTCTCTGCACAGTCCCTAGAGACTACCTCTAACCATTTATGCATTGATGACTACCACGTCTATATCTAGCTTAGGCCTTTCTCTGGACATATGAATCCAGCTGCCTTCTGGACATCATTATTTGGATGTTCCACAGTCACTAAAATAAAATGAATGGAACTAAATGTATTTTTGTTTGTTTACTCTGCTTTTGTTTTTTACTCTGCTTTTGTTTGTTTACTCTGCTTTTGAGATATTAATCACACTCTACCACATATTGTCTCTCTCAATAAACTGTTTCATTTGATTTTGTACCTCAAATATGGTAAAGAAGAAATTTTATTTCATTCTTGCAATAAAAAGAATGAAAGTAGTAGTAAATTATATGAAATGCAAACCTTGTTCTTTGGAAACATTCAAAGACCCTTAATTAATAAACAAATAGGTGCTTGCAAGCATATTTGAACTGAAGAAACTATTTTATTATAGGCCGCCAGTTTATTGCTGCAGCTCAGACAGAAGTGGCACAGCTTATTTTTACGCCGAATGAGAGCTCCGTCTAAACCGTGGTCTCAAGTTGATGAAGCAACCATTAGAGCAATTATAGCTGCTTTAAGCACTGAAGAACAGTCTGCAGGTTTACAACAACCATCTGGGATTGGCCAAAGGCCAAGGCCTATGTCTTCAGAAGAACTTCCTTTGGCATCATCTTGGAGGTCAAATAATAGTAGGAAAAGTTCAGCAGATACTGAATTTCCTGATGAGTCTACTACTGCAGAAAGGTAAATTAATGGCTTGAAACAGGAGACATTTTCTCCAGGAAAAGGAGTTATTTATTATGGAATTATGTGCTTTTATAATATTTAGAAATTACATTGTTATCATGTAAGGAACACAGAAAGGTCACAGTAAAATGGGAAGAGATTTTTCCTTTTAAAACCTCTATATAAAAGCCTAATATGCAAATTGTCCCCTTGGGAGTTTGACCAGGAGTTCAATCGCTTGCTATGACATGCGCTGACCACCAGGGGATGGTGCGGTACTTGGCAGGTGTTGGCAACACAGCGCCAGTAGCGGGCGGCAGTGGAGGCACTGCCAGCCCCGATAGGCCCCAACAAGAGCGGGACCGTGGTGGGATGGTGGAGCAGGTGAGCAGGCAGCGCCAGGCCAAGGTGGGGTGCCAGGCGGGGCTGCAGGGCTGTGAGGCTGGGGGCTGGGGGCGCAAGCTGGGGCTGCAAGGCTGGGGTTGCGAGCTGGGGCTGCTGGGGTGAGACAGGGCCGGACATGCCCTGAAGCCCTCCTGCGGTCCCTTCTAGGCAGGCCAATCTCCCGTGCTCCCTCCCCGGCCGGCCAGCCTCAATTGTAGCTCTGTAGCTGAAAGAAGCTGGCGTCATCACTAGAATATGTCTGAAGACCAACTATTGGCACAATGTACTTCTGCGGCCGAAAGAAAGCGTCATCATCAACAGAATATGTCTGAAAAACTGTCATCGACAAGTACTACCAATACTGGTAGGAACTGCCTTCACAGCAAAAATTAAGTAAATGAGGATACAATTATCGAACATAGTTGTGGTGAAATGACTGTTACATGTCAGTTTTGCCTATTACTAAAGTTCTCCAATGGAAAACCATCTGATGGAAAATTTACTCAGTGTTGCAGCAAAGGTAAAGTTTGTCCAAATGATATAAGTTTTCCAGAATACCTGGCATATTTTAAAAAATTAATGATAAATGAAGATTCTGACAGTAAAAATTTTATGGAAAATATTCGTTCCATAAATAGTTCTTTTGATTTTGCTTCAATGGGTGCAAATATCACTTCATCATCAGGATATGGGCCATACTGTTTTAGAATACACGGTCAAGTTTATCACCGTACTGGAACTTTACATCCTTCAGATGGTGTTTCGCAGAAGTTTGCTCAACTCTACGTTTTAGACACGGCCGAAGCGACAAGTAAAAGATTAGCAATGCCAGAAAACCACGGTTGCTCAGAAAGACTCATGATCAATATCAACAACCTCATGCATGAAATAAACAAATTAACAAAATCATACAAGATGCTACATGAGGTAGAAAAGGAAGCCCAATCTGAAGCAGCAGCAAAAGATATTGCTCCCACAGAAGTAACAATGGCAATTAAATATAATCGTAATAGTGATCTGGGTAGATATAATTCTCCCTGTGTAACTGAGGTTGCCGTCATATTTAGAAACTAAGATGGAGAACCTCCTTTTGAAAGGGACCTGTCCATTCATTGTAAACCAGATCCCAATAATCCGAATGCCACTAAAATGAAACAAATCAGTATCCTGTTTTCTACATTAGATGCAATGACGTATCCTATTCTTTTTCCACATAGTGAAAAAGGCTGGGGAACAGATATTGCATTAAGACTCAGAGACGACAGTGTAATCAACAGTAATACCAGACAAAATGTAAAGACATGAGGCACACAAATGCAGTATTATGGATTTCATCTCTCTGTGCAGGACACGTTCAATCCTATTTTAAATGCAGGAAAATTAGCTCAACAGTATATTGTCGATTCATATTAAAAAATGGAAGCAAATCGGATAAATTTCATTAAAGCAAACCAATTTAAGTTGAGAGTTGAAAAATATAGTGATTTGATGGATCATCTCACATCTAGATCTGAAAATCACAATGTGCTGATTGGTAAAATGATAATACTTCCATCGTCTTTTGGGGGTACTCCCAGAAATATGCAGCAGCGATATCAGGATGCTATTGCAATTGTAACAAAGTATGGCAAGCCTGATTTATTCATAACCATGACATGCAATCCCAAATGGGTAGGTATTACAAATAATTTACAGCGCTGGCAAAAAGTTGAAAACAGACCTGACTTGGTAGCCGGTGTTTTTAATATTAAACTGAATGCTCTTTGAAATGATATATGTAAATTTGATTTATTTGGCAATGCTACAGCTAAAATTCATGTCACCGAATTTCAGAAACATGGACTGCCTCACGCTCACATATTATTGATATTAGATAGTGAATCCAAATTATGAATGGAACGTGACATTGACCATATAGTTAAGGCACAAATTCCGAATGAAGACCAGTGTCCTCAACTTTTTCAGATTGTAAAATCAAATATGGTACATGGACTATGTGGGATACAAAATCCAATATTAAATATTAAAATATTCTAATTATTTTTTTTTCAATGTGCATGAATCCGTGCACCAGGTCACTAGTAATTCTTATGAGTTTTAAGATAATATGAAGGATTTTAGGCTACCGGTATATGAGTTATTTAATAAGAAATTTTTTTTTCAGGAAAAACTCAAAATGTTTATTTTTAAGAATTCACAAATTTAGGGTCTGTTGAGAAGATAGCAACGTTTTTTATTATACATTTTAGTTAATGTATGTCAAGTGGCATCTTTCCTAGGTACCCTACAGCAAGAAGTGATGGCTATAGCCATTTAAAAGAACAACCCACAAGTATTACCTATATATCAATATTGCTGACTAGTATTCCTACAGAAAAATCATCTATTCATTCAGTGATACATTGAATGCCTGTTGTTCTTGGTATGAGGGATAGAGCAATGTACAAAACAAAATAGACCTCTTCCTTCAGAGAATTTACATTTTATTGAGAGGCATATAGTAAGTAAATAAATTTATTGTGACAAAATTTGTTTCAATTTAATCAAATTCTTTTATTTTTTCTGGCATTTAGCAATTGGATGTGACATTTTTATTATATGATTGTCAATAGTAAGAAAGCTCTTCTTGAATTATTTATCCAAAAATATATTATGATATAACTAGAGGCCCAGTGCACGGATTCGTGCACCACTGGGGTCCCTTGGCCTGGCCTGCGGGGACTGGGCCGAAACTGGCTCTCTGACATCCCCCGAGGGGTCCCGGATTTCGAGAGGGTGCAGGCCAGGCTGAGGGACCCCACAGGTGTACAATCGGGGTCAGGGAAGGACCACGGGAGGGCTGCAGGGCATGTCCGGCCTGTCTTGTCCAGTCCCAATTGACTGGACCCCAGCAGCAAGCTAACCTACTGGTTGGAGCGTCTTCCCCCTGGTGGTCGGTGCACATCATAGTGACTGGTCGAACAGTCGAATGGTCAGACACTTAGCATATTAGGTTTTTATTATATAGGATATGATAGTGGTTATAATGAATCATTGGGCATGGTTCAGAACTATTTCTTGTAAACACATTTAATAGAATCAAATATGTTTCTTTTTATCATTAGAAAAAATTTTCTTACCTTGTTGATAACAAAGACTACATTTTGCCTGTAATGCTAGTTTTGGCAATATTGGTGGAAAGTCTCTGTAGTAAGAATGTGATTTCACTGGTAAAAAAACTGAAAATAGAAACAATGGAAACAAAAGATATGTGATGTTCAAGGGTCAGATGGGAATTTCATTACCTTCTTTTGATCAAATTTTGCATATTTCACAGAAGCATAAAGGCTTTATTAGTTCAGACTTCAGTGAAAGAGGAATAATATTTATTGGTTTCCAAGTTCTTCAGATATCCAGTTTTAGGAATAATTTAGTCAGTTGCCAAGAAAACCACACATTGTGCGCAGCTGAACCTTTCTGATGTAGACCCTCCTAAACAAAAGAATAGTAAAAACCATATATTCTATTTAGACATCCCCCACTTTTTTGAAAAGATTATTCTAAAAGCTTACTTGAACAGCGAATATTTAGAATGTGCACATACATCTCCATAGATATTTTAATGTGGTCTTATTATTCCTACACCTTTCTGGCATTTAGCAATTGGATGTGACATTTTTATTTATTATATGATTGTCAATAGTAAGAAAGCTCTTCTTGAATTATAAAAAACCTGTTAGATTCATAGAGAACTCTGTGTGTGTGTGTGTGTGTGTATGTATGTATAAACGCATATGTATTATGTGTGTACCTATATTCACATACTAACAGAGTTGCACACAGACTTTTTTTGGATAAAAACTTCCTTTTTTCTTTATAAAAGTAATACATATTCATTTGATAAAATTTGGAAATACAGAAGAAAATCAGAATTATAAAGTGTAATTAGTTATACTTAGAAACTGTCTTATAAGTTCTTCCCCCCGCCACCTTGTGATACCAGGATCAAGCATTTCCTTTTCTTACAAGTTGTAGCCTGACATTTTTCATTCTCTTACCTATTGAACAATAGGACTTTTTGTAGAATTAATGGATAATGCCTAGAATTGATGTATCTTGGTGAAGAATAGAATGAGGACTCTTAGGAAGATTTATTTTTGAAGAGAGAAGTTATCATCTTTGTGGGATTACTTCTTAGAGAAAAATTATTTATAGTTAGAGTTTTCACTCTAGGACAGCAAGATGTAGATTAGATAAATGTTTTCAATAAAAACACTTTTTGTCAGTGAATTTCATTTATTTTTAATATAATAAATATCCTTTGATAAATATAAAAATAGTCACATATTCTATTTGCTTACATTTTCTTTCTTTAAAAAAAAAAATCCTCACCTGAGGATATGCTTATTGATTTCTTTTTAGAGAGAGAGGACAGGTTGGGGGGGGCGGGAGAGAAAGAAAGAAAGAAAAAGGAAGGAAGGAAGGAGGGAGGGAGGGAAAGGAAACGGAGGATTAGGCTAAAAAGAAGGAGCGAGGGGAGAATTAAAGAAAAGAGGGGAGGCAAGATGAAAAGAGATAGGAGAGCAGGGAAAGGAAGGCGTGCAGAGAGCAAGACAGAGGAAGGGCAGTGATAGGCAGGCAGGATGGGATAGAGAGCTGGCGGAGCAGCCATGGCATTGTGCAGTCCGCTTGCTTGCCGGGCCTTTGCCGGGGACAGGCTCCAGGCACAGCGGCCACTTCTGTCCTGACACAAAGGAGGAAGAGGCCTTCTCTCCTGCCCTTCCCAGCGTCCTGCTCCTGTGGGTACACTAGGCTCCTGGGATATAGAACCCCATTTCAGCCCAGGCAGCCTTCCAGGCAGCTGGGGCTGAGCCATGCTCTAGTCAAGGAGCAAAGAAGACATGATGAAGGAGCTTTCACGCCCTGCTCCTCTTTTGCATCTCTGCCGGGCCACAGGGCCCATCGGCCCCAATTTCAGCTTTCCTAGAAAAAAGATACCCCCGAAGAACCTCTTCTATGGGCCTCTGCTTTGGGGGAGAGCTCTCACGCAGAGTGGCTGCGAGCAGATGCCCCTTTCTCTCCTAGCCTCTTTGGCCACTGCCTTTTTTTCAGCCCTGCCCAACCGGCAGAGGCAGCAGCATGGGGCAGCTGAAATCACAGCTGAAATCCTCCGGCCCACACTCCCTGCTGCTGTCAATTTCCCCATGAAACTGAGGGGAGATTGTCACCTTAGTTATAGAGCATGAACTCAGACCCTCCCTACTCAGGCATAGACAGAGCTGTGGATCAGGAAGTAGGCCTCGCCCACAGCCCCCTCCCCACCAATACCCCATTTTGCCTAGGCCTTGCTTAGAGAGTTGGCCTTGGAGAGGGGGGGAGGGGGGGCTGGGAGAGGCTGGGAGCCCCTGAGTTCAGGCCCAGGTCCCGGTGCTTCCACAACTGCATATGGCCTGTACCCCATTCTCTGTATTTGGAGGTAGGGTGGCAGGTCAGGGCTCTGAAGCAGATTTTCAGGCTCCCCCAAATCCAGGCCTCTAGGGACGGGAGCACAAGGATGTGGGGACACCACGAAGGAGGGGCTTGTCTTCCCAGGTTCAGTCACTCCTACTGAATCCCCTGGCAGATTCCAAGACTCCCTTTCACCCCTTCAATTTTCCTCAGCGCAAGTGGGGGAAACTCAAGAGATGGTCATTGTGAGAGAGAACATTGATTGGTTGCCTTCAGTATGCACCCAACCAGGGATTGAACCTGAAATCTAGGTATGTGCCCCAGTTACATCCACACCTTTCAATATATGGGACAATGCTCCAACCAACTGCATACTGGCCTGGGCTGCTTATATTTTCAATTAACTCTTCAACTCTACATTTGAAGCGTTGTACATTCTGCACCTCAGCCTTATAATATCCTCCATCCTATAAAGTTTTTACCTAAAATCATATTTTGAATTGAAAATATTTAAGAATAGTTTAAGAAACTATTAAAATACTAGAAATTGCCCATGTCCCATCCCAAAGCCAAACTAATGTTTTTTTCTTATCATTTTCAAATAGTAATGGCAAAAGATTTACGTAAGAAAAAATGAGCTGTAAGTGAGTTCTATATGAGAACTCTTTGTTCCTCCTAAATGAAAATTTAGGTGGAATGGTTTATGCTGCAGTGGTTCTCAACCTTCCTAATGCCGCGACCCTTTAATACAGTTCCTCATGTGGTGACCCCCAATTTCATTGTTACAAATTGAACATAATTAAAGCATAGTGATTAATCACAAAAACAATATGTAATTATATATGTGTTTTCTGATGGTCTTAGGCGACCCCTGTGAAAGGGTCGTTTGACCCCCAAAGGGGTCACAGGTTGAGAACCGCTGGTTTACGGGAATACTTTGTTTCTACTTGAATGAAATGTTTTGGGGAAACCAAATAAACATGAGAAAAAAGCTAAAATAAGGCTCAGAGTAAAAGATCAACTTGAAAACCACAAAAATAGGTTTTTAATTCTATTGAAAATATCATTTTTACTTTAATAAGGTTTTGTCTTCATTAAGTTCTGTCAGCTAATTTTCAGGTCAGTTAGGTACCAGGGTAAGAATGATGGAATGTTAGAAGTTGTAACTAAAAAAGTCATTGAACTTCGGTTATGAGAGGAAAAAAATCTTTGAAAAGTTAATTTTTGTACTTCTAATCAAGTTGTTAATGATTCATATATGCATACATCACATTTTCATTAATGTCTTTAAGTTTTAGCTATTTTATTTCATTTGTGAAAGGAACAATCCTTCATCTAAGATATTTATAGAAATGGAAAAAATTGTGGGCATAAGCTATTTCAACTTGTCTTGTAGGCAGGACTTGCAAGACTCTATGGAAGCTTGTGAATTATTGAACACTTACCCTTTTCTGCTTTAAATTTATTCATTATAAATATTGTGAAACACAGCAAAGTAAATGAAATACTATAGTGAACTCCACAGCCCTGATTCAATAATAACCAAGATTTCATCTACTTGTTGGTAGCCAAATATTTTTTCCCTTTGCTTTCTTTTTTTGTTTACATATTTCAAAATAAATACCATACATCCTGTCATTTTACCCTTCCACATTTAACTATGCATCTCTTAATACAACAGGCATTTTTTTCTACATAATCAAAATCCAATTACCAATTTCAATAAAATGATAATTTCCCCAGTTCTCTATAGATTTATTTGAATTAGCATCCAGGGAGGACTTATGCATTGTACCAGGGTGTTGTGTTTCTTGAGTCCCTTGTGATCAGAGCAGTTCCTTAGTTGGCCTTTTTGAAGAAACTAGGTCAGTGGTACTGTGAGATGTACAGCAGGTCCTTGAATAACATCATTTCATTCAAAGTGTTTCATTATAATGTTGATGAGATGACATAGTAACTTAACTCTTGTTTATGTTGATTAGCCTATGGTAAAATTGGTTCATTATACATCATTTTGCTTAAAGTCACAGAACTTGTTGATGACACTGAGTACTTACTGTACCACATTCTGGATTTGTCTCTTCATTTCTCCTGGCGTTATTTGTTGCTATATTCTAAGTAGTTCATGTAAAGTGGTAGTTATCTCTCAGTGCTTGATTAGATCCAGTGTTTGGGCAAGAATATTCTATAGGTGGATATTGCATGATTTTAGGAAGTACTCAGTTTATTTTTAAATGTCTGGTTGTTCCACAAATATATACTTTTTAAGCTCATAAATTAAGAGACTTGTCCAGGATCATATACCTAGTTAGTTGTAAATTTAGTACTGTCCTAGAAATCTTCTATCCTGACTCTAGTCCAGCATTATTTCCACTTTACCTTACTACAATTTTTAGTATGCTTTTTATATCTATTTTACTTGGCTCTAAGATATGCTGTGGAGGTGGAAGGGAAGTGGAGTGGGTGATATTCTTGTAAAGGCCATTGGCTTAGATGTAGTTTAATAATTTTATAATGTTAAAGACATTAAATGTCAATATAAAATATAATTGTTAAATTCTCTCCTATACCATCATAAAGGAGGAGATAGGGATTTGGTAAGGGGAATAATACTTGGGTAATTTTTAATATTAAGTTAAAGACTTTTGTAGATTGTCTTAAAAATATATTTTTGCATATTTGTTTTTGTAAACTGTACCATAGTAGTCCAACTGTTTCTTAACTTCCAAATGTAATAGAAGAATGAAATTCCCTTTTAAAAAATGTCCTATCAACTATAATGTCTTTGAAACTTTGATTTTAAATGGCATTTGCTTTGTATTATGAACTTACATATAACTTACATATAATGGGTCGTCTTTGCTTCTTCCTTCTCACTCAAGAGTATTGATGAAATCTCCATCTCCAGCACTACATCCACCTCAGAAGTACAAAGATAGAGGAATTTTACATCCTAAACGAAGCACTGATGACCGACCAGATCAAGCTTCTGCAAAGTCTACAGAAGATTACCCAAGTCCTTGTGCTAGCCCTTCTCCTCCATCCTCAGGAAAGGTAGAGTATCTAAAAGTTGATGTAGCAAGGAACACATTTGTAGCGCATTTAATATTACGTATTTAAAATCATAAACCAATTATTTTCAGTTACTAATTGTGGGCTCTGTTCTAGATATATATTGAAGCTGGCAAACTTGAGACACCTTGAGTAAATTTTTTGTTTCTTTTGCTTGCCAATTTTTTCTAGTTATTACCATGTTGGTGTGTTTTAAAACTAACAGATCATTCACTGATGGCATATAGCTAAGTAGTTCATTATATCCTTTCTACTTCTTTAGAACTTCTTTTTTTTTGTTGTTAAAACAAATAAGAAGATTATCTTAACTTTGGTTTATAATTTCAGAATTGAAAAGAATTTTTTTGTTAATTGATTTTATCAACTCAATGGATATAGTATAAAACAAAACAGGATGGAACTAGGAAGATAGGAAATTTTGATGGGGAATTGAGAACTATGTATCTTTTAAAAAATTTGTAAAATGAATGATTTCTAATGTTAGAATATATTTAGTTCTACCTTCTTGTGTTGTTAGTTCCTGAGTAAGTATTTGACTAGGGTTATTTGTTGTACTGTATGTTGTGTTCTGGTGAACCCGTAACATTTTTGGTGTACAGGGTGACATGACACTCAGCCGAGTCACTCACCTGGGCCCTCTAGCTGTTTTTATTAAGATTTTCTTTTTACCACTTGTTTTTAGCAGTTTGATTTTGATATGATTTAGTCTGGTTTTCCTTCTGTTTCTTCTTCATTCTGTGTATTTATAGTTTTCATCAATTTTGGGAAATGTAAGACCATTACTTTTTCACTTTTTTTGTTGTTAATCCTTACCTGAGGATATTTTTTCCATTGCTTTTTTTGAGAGAATAGGAGAGAGGGAGAGGGAGAGGGAGAGCGAGAAACAATGATGTGAGAAAGACACATCAATTGGTTGCCTCCCACACATGCCCTAACTCATGTGGGGATTGAACCTGCAACCCAGGTACATGCCCTTGATCAGGAATCGAACCTGTGATCCTTCAGTGTGTGGGCTGATGCTCTAACCGCTGAGCAACACTGGCCAGGGCTCTTCACTTATATTTTATATTTCACCTCTCACTTCTCCTTTCTGGGATCCTGGATATACAAATCTAAGGCTACTTGATATTTTCCCACAGGTCACTGATGCTCTGATAATTATATTTCAGTTATTTTCTCTCTGCTTCATTTGAGAGGTTTCTATTGCTGTAACTTGTATTTTTATTTGTAGTGTCTAATCTACTATGCATTCTTTCTAGTGTATTTTTCACTTCAGATACTATAAGTTCATCTCCAGAGCATCCTTTGGGTCTTTAAAAAGTACCTCCATTTCTCCTCTCATCATGTTCATGTTGCCTTTACCTTCTTGAAGATAGTAAGCATATTTATCATAACTGCCTTAATATTCTTATCTCCTAATTGCATCATCTGAGTCTGTTCCTATTGATTAATTTATTTTCCAGTTATGGATCATATTCTTCTGTTCCTTTGTATTCCTTATAATTTTGTTTGGCTGCATGATTTTTGTTGTATTCCTTTATTTTATTTTATTTTTTTTATTAAATCTTTATTGTTCAGATTACATTTGTTCCTCTTTTTTTTTTTCCCCTCCATAACTCCCCTCCTCCCAGTTCCCGCCCCACCCTCCGCCCTCACTCCCCACTCACTGTCCTCATCCATAGGTGCACGATTTTTGTCCAGTTTCTTCCCGCATCTCCCATTCCCCTTTCCCCCCCAAGAATAGTCAGTCCATTCCCTTTCTATGTCCCTGATTCATTATAATCACCAGTTCATTCTGTACATCAGATTATTTATTCACTTGATTCTTAGATTCACTTGTTGATAGGTGCATGTTTGTTGTTCATAATTTGTAGTATCTTTACTTTCTTCTTCCTCTTCATAAAGGATACCATTCAGCATTTCGTATAATACTGGTTTAGTGGTGATGAACTCCTTTAGCTTTTTTTTATCTGTGAAGCTCTTTATCTGACCTTCAATTCTGAATGATAGCTTTGCTGGATAAAGTAATCTTGGTTGTAGGTTCTTGGTATTCAGCACTTTGAATATTTCTTGCCATTCCCTTCTGGCCTGCAAAGTTTCTGTTGAGAAATCAGCTGACAGTCGTATGGGTATTCCCTTGTAGGTAATTGAGACTCTTTCTCTTGCTGCTTTTAAGATTCTCTCTTTGTCTTTTGCTCTTGGCATTTTAATGATGATGTGTCTTGGTGTGGTCCTCTTTGGATTCCTTTTGTTTGGGGTTCTCTGCACTTCTTGGACCTGTAAGTCCATTTCTTTCACCAGGTGGGGGAAGTTTTCTGCCATTATTTCTTCAAATAGGTTTTCAATATCTTGCTGTCTCTCATCTTCTGGCACCCCAATGATTCTGATGTTGGTACGCTTGAAGCTGTCCCAGAGGCTCCTTACACTATCTTCGTATTTTCGGATTCTTTTTTCATTTTGCTTTTCCGGTTGGGTGTTTTTTGCTTCTTCGCATTTCAAATCTTTGACTTGATTCTTGCGCTCCTCTGGTCTGCTATTGGGTGTCTGTATAATATTCTTTATTTCAGTCCGTGTATGCTTAATTTCTAGTTGGTTCTTTATCATAGCATCGAGGGTCTCATTAGTTTTCGTGACTCTCTCCTCAAGTTTATTGACAGCTTCTAGCACATTTTTGCAAGCCCTCAAAATTGCGATTTTTAGCTCTATATCCTCCATTTCTGTCATGTTTTTTTGTCTCCGCATTTTTTATGCTTTCTTGGTGCACCCCCTAGTGGTCTTTGTGCGCAGTCTTGTTCTAGTTAAGCCTTGATTGTTGTAGTTAATACTAGAGGGATTTGACCACCAGGCCGACTGGCTGTGTGAATCAGCTGTGTCTGCCGCGGAAAACTTCTGTCCTCTGGGGAGGTGCTAATCTAGCCTTTGCCTGAGGCGATCCGGCAAATGGCTCTGCGCAGGGCTTGGGCGGGGCGGGCTCAACAGGGCGGGCGGAGGGAGCCGTTATGGTGCCCTCAGTCCTGTTCCCAGAGGCTCTGCTTCTCAGAACCCCAGGAACCGCTGCAAACCTCGGAGAGAAAGCTGCCTTCCAACTGATGCCAGACACTCCCGCTTCTCCCGTTTGAGTCCGAGTCCCCAGCGATTCGCCCGTATCTGGAGCTCAGAGTCTGAGACTCCCCCCTGACCGAAAACGACAACCGCGCTCTCAGCCACCAGCCCGCTTTGCGCGCGCACCTCCGCACCTGAGTATTTTCCACACTGCGCCTCCTCTGAGCCTCGGTGTGCTGTTATTTTTCCTTCTAGTTGAAGAGTCTCTCCTCAGCCAGCCTTCCTGTGGTTCTGGGTGATGTCGTTCCGTCTTGTAGTTGTATTTTTGAAGTGGTTGTTTGCGGCAGCAGTCTCCGGTGTTTACCTATGCCGCCGTCTTGCTCGGAATCCTGTATTCCTTTAAATAGTGTTAGATATCCTTTTGGTATACAGTTAAGTTAGTGGCAATCAATTTAATCTTTTCAGGATTTGCTAGTAAGCAGTGCTAGGGTGGTTCCAGAGCAGTTTTTATCTGGTACTAATTTAGTTCTGATACTAAGGTGTGATGTTTCTGTGGACTAATGACCCATTATTAGTCCAAATTATTTCTATTTTGGTTGGGGATAACAGGAAGTATTCTCAGCCATATGTGTGAGCGCTCAGAATTATCGGGTGTACTTCCTTCCTTTGGGTTTTTTTCTGGCCTCAAGTCATTTTTTCTTACTTGTGTGCAGGTCAGCACTTAACCAAAAACCGTGGGGATCCTCTGCAGTTCCCCATGAGCTCACTTTCTGTGCAACTTCCTTTGGTCTAGTTCACTGCCATGCAAATACTAGTTGCCTGGTCTGTCTCTGCATTTCAGCAAGACCACTGGTTTCTGTTTGTTTCCTTGCACTGTTACCTGGAAACTGTATCCTGGCAATAAGCTGGAGCAATATTTGTTTTGTTTTCAGACTTTGAAGTTTATTAAAATATTTTCTGGAAGTACATTTGGAGTATAAATCAAAGTTGGTAATCCAGGATCCTTTCTTGATAAGGGATTTTGAATGCTCTGAAACTGAGTACTTGGTTTGGGCTCTTTAACCTCATTTTGATTGAGCCTTGTGTAGTTTTTCAGGAATGAATGACAGAGCTGTTCGAATTTGTTGAACATTTGGTAAAATATTTTGGTTTATATGTTCATGAAGATGTTATTTAATGGAGCCTATTGATTCCGAAAGGTCAAATTACCTTTCAAGAATTTATGCATTCTTTTATAGGGGTCAAAATCTCCTTCACCAAGACCAAACATGCCTATTCGATACTTCATAATGAAGAGTAGCAATTTGAGAAACCTTGAAATTTCTCAACAGAAGGGTATTTGGTCTACAACCCCTAGTAATGAGCGGAAGCTAAATCGAGCCTTTTGGGAAAGCAGCATGGTTTACTTGGTTTTTTCTGTTCAAGGATCTGGACATTTCCAGGTGAGCCATCCTGAAGCAGTAAGGGTTCTTCTGGCTGCAGGTTAGACCATAGAGATAAAAAACAAACAACAACAACAAAAAACCCTGGCTTTGTATTACATCGGAATGCAATTTTATCTTAGAATGAGAAATATATTGCACCTCCTCAAGGGAATGATAAATAGGGATCCCTTTGTTTTTGCCTTATCTTACCAGAACCTCTCCAGATAAACAATTTCTGCTTCTGAAGACAACTGTAGATTTACTACTTCTGGGGTAGATTAAAAGCAATGAGAATCTTGAATTTTTGGTAAAATGTTTATTTAAATAGGTCAAGGAAGTTAGTATTGACAATCAAGAAACTGAGTGTGTGTCTTAACTCATATATCTGAATTTATAAAATAATGAATTTGATAATATTATAATTTTTGGAAGTAAAAGCATAGAGGTTAGATTGTATCCATTTATTATGGAATAAATGTGGGTTTAGAACTATTGAAATATTTAGAAAATATCTGTCATATCTGAAATTATGTTAGAAGGCTGGAAATGGTCTTTCCTATAAAATTTGCTTATATATTTTTTTATAAAAACACTTAATAAGTAGCTTATTTTTTAATTTATCTTTATTGTTGAAAGTATTACAGATGTTCCCCCCTTTTTTGTTAGCTATGTATTATTTTTATATTATACTTTCCCCTTAAAAAAACCCTCATAGCTTTCTCAGATAAATTGAATTCACTTTTATCCTTCCACCTCATTTTATCCACAGGGATTTTCTAGGATGTCATCTGAGATAGGAAAGGAGAAGAGCCAGGATTGGGGCTCAGCTGGACTAGGAGGAGTATTTAAAGTGGAGTGGATACGAAAAGAAAGTCTTCCCTTTCAGTTTGCACACCATTTGCTCAATCCTTGGAATGATAACAAGAAAGTCCAGATAAGCAGAGATGGGCAGGTATACAATGGCATTTAATATTTTTCTTCTACTTTTCTTTTTATTTTGTTTTGCTGTTATTTAGTGATTTGTTTGAGGAACCATTGTAAGAATATATATCCTATTTTCCACATGCACATGGGAAATAGTGCTTCAGATTTGTAAAGGAGCTAGTAAAAACCTTCTTGCAAAATATCTCTTATAGAGCTCATTGCTTTTTTAACATTTTGTAAATTTGACTTCTTTCTGTCATTGCATATATAAAATATTTCTTAAGTTCCTTTTTGGAGACTCCTGTTGTCCTCCTAAGACCTAAGATATGATCAAAACTGAGTGTAATTCTGAAGTGTAATTTTACTAAAATCTAAGGATAACAACAGTATCTAAACTCCATTAAGACTTTAACTAATTGTGTAATGTAAAAAAATAACCTTTTTATATTTTTGTGGCTTGTTTTATTTCTATTATGTTTTACCTTGTCTTCATGACATACATTTTAAATTAGTTAGGGTGATGGGAATTAACATACATATGGATTACTGTGCTAACTGTAAAATGAGGTAATTTAATGCACACAATGAATTATTAGCCCAATTTTATGTAGGGTAAAATAGATTCAGAGAAATTAGTTTTGCCTAAGGTCACACAGCTAATAATTTATTTGAACCAGTGTGACTCACTTCAGATTATCACATGAAGAGTGGATTCTTTTTAAAAGCACATATAGTCACAAGAGGACTGTAAATAACATTCTTTTCAGTTATATAAGAATATTTTTATTTTTATCCTAAATAGTGATTTTGAAATAAGTCTAATACCTAAGATAAGATTATTATATAGTCATCTAAGCTAGTCTCTTGGAAAAAAACACTGGAAATATCTAATATGCTATGTTTTATAGTTCAAGCTGAATGCTTTTGCTAAATATCCATTAGAAACAAAATTCATTATTTCCAGATACAAAAAAAAAAAAAAAAAAAAATTCTAGCAGAACTCCATGGAAGTCTCTCATCAAGTTGTCACAAATAGTTGTGATATTTGCAGGTTAACTACAGTCTTAAATGCTTCATAAATCCTAAAGCAAAGAATTAGAGCAATGTATTCCATATAATTTTAGTATGTGCTGGTAGAAAAAGAAAATTTACAGTGATTTTCTTACATTTTTATCAGTGTAGGTATTGGTGATTATAAAATTCAATCCAGTTATTTTAATGTTTATTCTGACTTTTGATTTATCTAGGAACTAGAACCTCAGATTGGGGAACAGTTGCTACAGTTATGGGAACGCCTTCCATCAGGAGAAAAAACGACAACTGATTGACACTCGGGTTATACCATTCTTGACTTTGAGTACTGGCAGTATTTGTGGTCATTAAGGATATCTTTCATTACTTATCTCTTTATCTTTCAACCTTTCAAGAGCACTTAGTTACAGAATGCACTGACTTCCAAAAACTTAGATGGGCTTTTCTGGTTTAGAGTATTGCTTTAGAACCACCATCTTCATATAAAAGAGATAATGATAATTTTAATAGTGATAATATAGAATGATTATGTAATGTTTATTAATTGTATGTTTCTAATTGAATAAAACATAGTAGTTTCATTATTTGACACAACAGCAGTTATTTTAAATATACTTAATTTGAAGTTGAGTATTTCATTTGTTTAAAACACTGAATTATAGTTCATATTGATTATGTTTTTAATGCAAAGTAAGTTTGTTTACTTTTTATTGTTAACACTATTACAGATGCCCCCTATTTAAGTTGTTTACTTTTAAGAAAGGCCTGAATATATCAGTACATCTGTGCACCATTTTAGAAGAGTCAACTCTTAAGATTTATGATTAAAAAGCCAACAAGCAAACAACCAGATTAAAAAATGTTTCTTTTAAAAAATAGTGTGTGCTAATTAAGGACTATTTATTCTGTCATTTTTAGCCTAAGATACATTAAGAAAAAAAGGAGGGGCATTCTTTTTCTGCAATTATGTAATGCAGGAAAGTCTAAAGAAAGGCAACATTCCTCAGGTCGAATTCAGTGCTTAGTTTTCTTGCTGGTTCTGCCTCTTTTAACCTGATGGGTGCCTTACCCCATTCTTCCTCCCATATTACAACTTACATGAGCACAGTAATTATGACCTTTTTGTTTTGTCTAGGGCAACTTGATTTAGACAAGTTAGAAATTTAAACAAATTATACAAGTAGTTTAACAGGTAGTGATAACTTGCTTGCTGTATGTCTTCCAAACTGAAGCCCACAAGCATCACAGTTCTAAATGCCTTCTATTCGTTTTCCAGTACTTTTTATCCTGCTATGTTTTGGATATGATTTATTTCTTTTTTTGCACTTATGGTTTAATAAATTAGGGTGGTGATGGTGGTGATTTTTTTTATAAAACTGTGTTAGCGCCAACTATCTACTTCTTTGCCAATTCAGAATTATTTGGTTTGAAGTCTTTACCACCACTATCTATCTATAAAGTTTCCTAAGAAGCTTTTTGAAGGGAAATAGAGGTACAAGTAAAAAAGAATGAAATGTCTTGGTCACTGAGCTCTAAATAGAACAGGTTTGGTAGCACTTGTCATGATACATTTGGGTCATTTCTAGATAACAAAACACCAACAGGAAATTAATTTAAAGACAAGAAGAACTCTGAGTCATCTGCTTCTGTATTTGAGAACAAAGAATGGAAAATTTATAGGTCAACATAAAATCTTGAGAACCCTTCTACTTCCTCTGGGAAAGCATTATATATTGATATATTAGTTTAGAATGTCATCTGTGATTTTGGCCTGTATTTGTAGATATTTGGTTTTTAAAATTTATTTTATACTTTGAGACATACCTATAAATTGAATCTATGTGAATTATGTTTCACTGTATGTGTATTACCGTTTTTTTCCTATTAGAGCAACTTGTGTTCCTCTGATAATGTTTACATTTTGTTTAGGTGTATATTTAGCAGTTCCTGGTGTTCTAAATTTGGAAGTTAAGGACTTTTGAAAAATAAAACTTGTTTCATTTTTATCTGTTTTCTAATATCTAGCCCCCTGTGGAAATGATGACTTTGTTGATATCTATATAAAATGAGTACAATTTGAATGTAATTAAAATGCTGTTTTTGGAAGAGATGAACTTTAAATATACTTATTAGATGAAATTCTACTCAATTATTTATATCTTGTTATTTCTGATACTACATATTAGGACTAAGGTAACAGTGATCAGCAATATCCCTTGAGATATTAATGAATTTCAAGCACCTTGAAGAATATTATAATGACATTGAAGGTGATGGTTTCATATTAGTACAAACTCCTTGAGAAAAAATATCCTTATTATAATAGGGGCATAGAAAAAAAAATTCAAGACATGCTTTAATATAAAATCTTTTGAATATTAATAAAATATTCAGCCATCCACCTTCTGTTCTTAGCCAGGACACTTCATTATGCTAACTTGCCATTGTACCCGCTGAACAACCCAGCGTCACTCCAGCAATTACAGCAAAGATAGGCCATGAGGAAAGAATAAACTTCAAGAAAAGACAGGTTCATTTAAGAATTCTTCCTCATAAACTCATTCTTTACCATTTAAAATATTATATCCTGAAACAGAGAAAGTCTTAAGGAGTAAGTTAAATGTAACTCACAAGTGACCATGCTTCCCGGTCTGAGTGAGCCTCACATAATACAGATCTTCACTGTGCTCCAGGAGTCTCCACAATTCCGTTGTACCCAAAGGACCACATACTGTCAATATGCCCATGGCCACTGGATGCATCTTGGTCTTTCAACCAAATGGGAAATTTCCACTTGGCAGTCTAATACAATCTCAAATTCTGCATATTCAAAATTGAACTACTATTGCTTCCTCACAGCCTGTTCTACCAAAGCTGTCTGTCCTCTTCAGTTGATGTCAGTTCCCTTCTTTTGGTGGCTCAGGCCAGAAAACTTGGAGTCATCCTTGATGCCTTTCTTTTTCTCAGTTTTATCAGAAAGTTTTCTTGGGTCTACTTTCAAAATATTTCTAGACTCCAGCTGTTTCTCACCACAAACTGTCATAACCACTCTGAACTGAGCCACCATCATTCTCACCTGGGTTATTGAAATAGCTTCCTAAGATTTCTTTTCTCTCCCTTCTGCCACCAATCTATTCTCAACAGATAAATTTTAAGACATCAAATGAATTAATATTATATTGCTGCTCAAAACCCTGCAATGGCTTCCCATCTAACTCGAAAGCCAAAGTTTTTATAATGGCATAAACACCTTACATGATCTGCTCCCCCATTATATTTCTGACCTCTACTCATTCCACTTTAGCCACATTGAGCTCTTCACTATTCTTTTAATATACTAGGCATGTGCCAGCCTCAGAAACTTGTTTTAGCTGTACACTCTGCCTGAAATGCTCTCAGAATATCTGTATGGCCAACTAGTTTTACCATTTAGCATAGGTTTAATGTAAAGGTTTCTTTAAATTTTATTTAACTTTTAGAATTAAATCAACTTTTAAAAAAAGATGTACAGTATAGCTCTATGAATTTTAACACATGTACAGATTTATATCTTTTACCACAATCAGGATTTTCCATCACTCCCCCTCATGCTATATCCCTTTGTACTTATAGCCTCCTCTTGTCCCTAAGCCCTGGCAGCCATTGATCTGTTCTCTGACATTCTAGTTTTTGCCTTTTGAGAATATCATATAAATAGAATTATTTTTCAGCATAATGTCTTTGAACTCAATCCAAGTCATTGTGTATATCAAAGCTCATTTCCAGACTTCTGGTCAAAATGGAGAGTAGATAAATACTATACTCACCTCCTCCAACCACTACATCAAAATTACAACTAAATTATAGAACAACCATCATTGAGAACCACCTGAAGACTAACTGAACAGACATCCTATAAGGATATAAAGAAAAAACCATGTTGAGAATGGGTAGAAAGGGTGGAGATGAGAAACAGGCAGGTCCCACACCACGGTGTAATTAAAAATTGCGAGGGATATCTTGGCTGTGGAGCAAGAGACCCCAACTTCACACTGGGCTCTCCAATCCAGTGCTCCAGTGCCATGAAGAGTCCCTGTAACATCTGGCTTGAAAACCAGCAGGGATTACATCCAATTGAGATGGAGGGCTGCTGGAGACCTAGGTGCTACAGGTCATAAGGGCCCACGTGCAGACTCACTTGCTCATAAAGTTACTTGCTCTGGGCTCCAGTACAGGAACAGCAGCTCAAAGAGTGCCAGGGACAGATGGGGAGGAAGTAAACTGACTAGATTCAGGGAGAAGTCTGGAGGGGCAGGGATCAGGATATGGAAGTGCTGGCAAGTGTTCTTTTATTCAGCCCTCCCCTCACTCTGCTGGCCTGGTGCAGGTGGGCATCAAATCTGAGCTCTCAATTAACCCGCCTAACCTGTTTGCAACATCAAACACATGGGTACTACCCAACCTCTTCCAGCAGATTCTCCACACGAGCAGCCTACCTAAGCTCAAGCTGTGGACTTTTCTAAATTCTCAGAGGTCCAACCCCATAACGCCCCCTCCCCCCCCTAAAAAAAAAAAAAAAAAGCCTGGCGTAAGCTCTGACTGGTTTCAGCTTGCATTATAGCCCCTTCCATTAGCCCCAAGTCTGGGATAAGCAGCAGACACTCTTGACTTGGAATGTAGCCTCAAAAGTGGCAACAAACATGACACAAGTGGCAGCTGGCCTCAGCTAACTGTGGTGCCCACCAAAGGCCCTAGTCTGAAACTAGTGGAAACCATCCCCAGTTCACACAGTAGCCTTATCCAAGCACCTCCAAGCCCAGCACAAGTGGCAATCAACCACAGATCACTTTGTAACTCCTACCACACAGTGCTAAACTAGGCAGACTCCAGATCCAACACACCTGATGGCTGGCTTCAGACCACACCAGAGTACCACCCAATCAGCTCCACAAATGACTCCAACAGTGGACTTGGCTGGTACTAGAGCTCTGCTAAAGTGACTCCCATCCCACAGGGTCAGCCCCAGCACAACAGCTCATCAGCTGTAGTCATGCCCAGGCCTCACAGCCAGCCTGAGGACCAATCCCACCCACTGATGTGTCAACAGCAATCAAGGCTCAAGTACAACAGGAGGGCACACACAACCCACAAAAGGGACACCCCTAGAACACCCAGCTCTGGTAACCAGGGAGACTGCACCATTGAGCCCCACAGGACACCTACTATAGAAAGCCACACTGCTGAGATCATGAGATGTAGCAAATCCTCCTAATACATAGAAACAAACAGGGAGTCAGCCAATATGAGGAGATAAATATGTCCCAAGTGAGAGAACAGGCCCAAACTCCAGGATAAGAACTAAACGAAATGGAGACAAGCAATGTAGAGGCAGAGTCAAAACCACTGATTATGATGATTATAAGGATGCCCAATTAACTTAGTGAAAAAATAGATGGACACAGATTCCTATCTCTTGAGCAAAGTTATAGGAATCATAAAAAAGGAGATAGAAAACAAACAAACAAACAAAAGACCCAGTCAGAAATGAATACAATAATTGAAATGAAAAATATATTAGAGGGAATCAACAGTATATTAGATGAATAGGGA